ACGGCTTAATCCTCCGAGGAAATTGAAGTTGGCGGGCGACCAGCGCTTTCGCCACAAGCCGGCAATACGGAACCAAAGCTAAGCCGGGACACTAAGGATTCATTCGGAATGTTCAGTAGACAAAGAAGCTTGGCGTTGAGCGCAAGAAAGACAAGAAGTTTCGAGAAGCTATGGTAGGATTATTGAGCATCTTGAATTTCCCAGGCACCCTGCATCCACAAGCACGTGTTCTCACGCGTAACTCTCAGTGTAATATCACGAACTTAGGTTTTAATTATGAAATTTTGCCACTACCGCATTCACCTAATGCGTTGAAATAGAGGAATTTTTCAAGAAGCAGTAGCAAGAGAGTTCAAATTCTTTGAACCAATTCCCTTCCTGAATAAAATAGAAGAACGCAACTTATTCCATTAAATTTTGCAATAAAACAGTGGCAATTTGAACAGATACAAGTCATTTGCACCACAACTTCCATGAACATCAGGATATTAGGAATATTTCTACAACCTACATATATATTTCGACTGATTAATAGCAAACAAAAGCAAGGTACTCTTCATCATAAGTGCAACCCAATATCTGAGCTCAGCAAATATATGTACATAGATTATTGCAATGAAGCTCCTCAGATAATTATTTATTTCAGGTCATTTATTTTTGAAGAAGTTGTGAATGGAATTTCTAAGCTCAGTGACAGATGACACATGGGGTAAAAAATGCTGCAGTAGCTTGAAATTTTACAGGGATGCAGTCATTTGTGCGCTCCACATCAACAGCAGTGCAATCAATTTGGTTGACTGTATATATCAGAATTAAAGGAAATCAATGTTATATATTTATTGATGAGCAATCATCACTCATAATCATCCAGTCACCCTGGAACCAGAAATAAGTTTAATTTACTAGTAAAATTCAACCTAAGTAACAATATTAGGAAAATTAGAGAACTTGTTCCAGGCAAAATAATGTATAATCTAGGTATAATATACTCCAAGTAATAGAAAAAAAGTTGCACATTTCCTGTATAACTAAATATATAGAGATGAGAAGCTCAATCTAGTGGACAATTTCCAGCCAGCCCACAGGTGATTGAGATTACCACAAAAAAATACAGATAATGGAATGGTTAAAAAATCTAGTCCCAATCACTGAGGGTGACAAGAAAGAAGTGAAAAATTACTCTCCATGAGACCATGACACAGAAATTGATGGTAGGAGTTCCACCTTGAGGAGTTTTTACTCATCTCTGCATGGTTTCAGACTTTCAGTCTGATTGGCCAGTCAGACTAAGCAACTCTAAGTTCCCAGCTGGTATTTCACCCCTTGAGAATCATAGAAGCAATCCTTTATTTTAAAAGAAAAAAAAAAAACTATGAATTTTCCCTTGTCCCATAGATATACAAAAATTCAAGTTTCATCCAGAACCCCCATTCAATCTGAAAGGAAAACATTAAGAGAAAGTCTAAATCTACAAGTTTGATTACTTATGAGGCCAAAGAATGATAATGGTTAATATATATCTACAATTTATACACATAAATGAAGTAGGTAAAAACAAATGATTCAGATCACTTTCATAATTTTATCTTATACATTTTATCTTCAGACTTTCAGAATAAACAAAAAACTATATTTCATGATAAATTTATAAGGATATCATTAGAAATACTCATACGATAGTTATGCAACCTAGCAAGCCTAGTAGCTAGGTCCTATTATAGGCTACTATCTATAAAGCTAAGTTAGCTAACTCCACTGAACTTGCAGTTGCAGATTAAGAAAAAAAAATACCAAAAACTTTCATGGCAGTGATGGCAACATGGAAATTAATAGGAAGTTAGGAACTAGGTATAGCATTATGCAACAATAATAGCATAATCAACAAATTTCTCATTTACTCATTATATTAGCCTCCATGTGCAGCATCTTGAACTTGAACTCGGAGCTGTGTAAGCGGTCAGCTGACAGAACACAGAAGGCTTGAATATAAAATTATATGAATGGTGGCAATTGTTTCATAGGCCTACATTCAAATGGATCCAAATCATCCAACTAGTAGCCTACCAAGCCAACATTTTTATTTTAATCCTACATAGTGAGCTGAATTGTAAAGGGAAACTGTACGATTTCAGGGTTTTCAATTCAGCAGTCTCACTGTCTCAGTAGGTACCTACCTAAGTCAGTTGCGCCTGTTGAGTCTTTTCATGCAACAACTCTACAGAATTCCAAGCACGAGGCTTTTCAGTAAACGGCAACTTACTTTCGGTAGATACGCGAGAAGAAACCATTGCACCCCAAGCAACTCGAACAGGAAGGGGAGCTGCAACGAACACGGGTACGCTGCTGTGTGATGATACGTCTTCTTTCGCCTCTTCAATTACCTCCACCACATGTGGCGGAACGGCTCTAGTAGTACCGGCGTCAACTTTCTTCTTAGCGAATATATTGTTCCTTGAATCGTTCCTAAAATTACGGTCCTTCTTCTTAGCAGCTATATTTTGTTTCTTTGTTCTTCTTTTAACTTCTATGAATTCACTCTCTTCAGAGTCAGTATAATTTTCGTCAGCGTTTTGTTTTTGAAGTAACTCGTTGTTTACGATGTCAACACAGACAACACTCATGTGTTCTTGGTCTCCTTTTGCTATCTTAGCGTAAGAAAAACTCGACATTTCTAAAGAATTTTTTTCCATAACTACTTAATTATATAGACGCAATATTACACCCGCCAACACAATTGCGCAATTATTTTTCAATTTTAAATGTGAAATAATTTATTAATTCACCGTGCAAAGAAACCATGTCACTCGCTGAAGCAAACTGCACGAGGCTGCAGATTGGGATTTAACTCGAGTGAAAAAGTATACTCGCATAAAAGTAATACCCCAAGTCTACAGCCGGTTTTGTTCTCTCAAAATTCGAACTCTAATTTTTCTCTAGTTTATTTCTATTATTTGGAAATTTTTTAAATGTTTGAATGCATTTTTTCTGTAAATTGGGATTCTGACAATTCTAAAGTCCAACTTCAATTACTTCATATGCCAGAATAATTTTCCGAACATTTAATCATGTGAATAGACAGCTTACTTAATAATTAGAATAAGAATAATTAGATTTGTCGACATTATGAAACTGGAGAAGGCTGAATAGCAACCGAATTGAATAGACCGATTCGACACTTCAGCACCGGTCCGACACTTCAGCGAACTCGCGTGCGAACTCGCCTGCGAGCTCGAATGGAAAACCTAACTTAATTTTCAACTCTGGCACGCATAACTCCTTCAATTATGAACGGATTTTATTCAAATTTGAAATATAAGTAGATAATATCAGACTGATATTATCTACTTATATTTCAAATTTGAATAAAATCCGTTCATAATTGAAGGAGTTATGCGTGCCAGAGTTGAAAATTAAGTTAGGTTTTCCATTCGAGCTCGCAGGCGAGTTCGCACGCGAGTTCGCTGAAGTGTCGGACCGGTATTGAATAGCAGCGCTTTAAATTTTGCTCCCATAAACGTGTCCCAACTTCGATTCCGCAGAGGTCTTATTGGTAATTTGGTTGACTCTCTACATATCTGACGATTTCATGGTTACTTCGCCTTAGACCTAAATTAGCTACTGAACTTGAATTACTTCTGCATTTAAATCTCACATAAACTCTCGAAAACCTCCATTTTATATCAACGTTGGTAAGATATTTCTCACCCATACTCTACTCACAACTCATTAGTCAATAGGAGCGCCCATGGTTGAATCAATCCTAATTGAACTCAATTGGTATTATTTCAATCATGGGAGCAGCGACACAATAAAAAGCTTGCGAGAATTTGCAGCGAGCATCTAACAATCTCTTTGTATTCACAGCATATTCCAGAGTAACTTCTGACACAAATTCTTACTGTTCATGAGCTTCTCTTAAATTTTATTGGATTTTCAAACATGAATGCGATATTTTTTTTTATTTGTATTGAAAAACTGTTTACGAGAAACGGTACATTTGTTGGTTATATATAGATCGTTAAATGCTGCGCTTAAAGGCGTTTAACTTGTAAAAATGAAATTTATTAATCATGAAATACGTGTGCAAGGTTCTTACTGATGTGTTTGTGAAGTTTGGTTAAAATTTGAACTCGAGTTCAGGAGATATTTTAAACTCGCATTCCAGCGGCAACATCCTGTAGTGATCGATAGATAAATTGACCCTCGATTTGTCGCAGCCAAAGTAAAGCGAAGTATGTGTTCACTACCAATAAGTCGTTTGACTTAGAGGATTACGCCCCTCCTTCAAATAAATTCGTTAAGTGGGTAGCTTATTTTAACTAAAGTGTGAAAAGTTAAATTTAACTCAACTTGGAGATCTCGTCTGAAATCCGTCGTCTTCTGCACTAAATTTATAAGCAAACGTGATCTGAAATTGAAAAAAGTACACAGGAAACGGATTGGTCGCTTTCGTTGTTGAAATCAGGGCGCGGTAAACGAAAACGGTCTCGATGAAGGAACACAAAGAGAAAAAACTACAAATGCGTTCCTTACTTGATTCTTAAAAATATCACTTTCAATTATCGTAACCCTTTCATTTTGAAATTAATTGGTGAAAAAATCATAGAAGTTTCAAAAATAGTCTGTCAAAATCTGTAACAACACGGATTGCGAAAGAGACTGCCGATTGGAAATTGTGTTAACGATTTGAGGTTAGACTTACACGTCACTATTGGAGAATGACTCGAGTCAAAAATGAGCCTAACGAGCTCTTCAGTCCCCAAAAAATTTCTTACTTCCATGCAGGAAAAACACCGAATTCTGGTCGGAGATTTGGAATTGAACCTATTGGCAGAAATTTCCGTTTTGAATTAAAAAAAATCCTTACTCGAACTGAATTGAGATTCAGGAATATAAAGTAACAGTAAAAATAATAAACCTGCGCACTTAGCCGATGGCCTTTCAGTACATGGACGATGGCACGTAGACGAATTTCGATGGTAAAGAGGTAAAGACATAAAAACAACAGTAAATTTAATGAACTCATAGTCACAAGTTTTCTTGGGATGGTTACGTTCACGAGCTACATCACTGATGAGTTTTGCCACACAACGGAAACTAGATTACAAACAAGATTCATAGCATCATAAAACTCTTTTCAATTATTACACCTGTGACGACAAAGACTTAAGTAGCTTAATAAAGTGCCACTAACGCAAAACAAGTATATAAATGATTTCAGAAGTTCCACAAGATCGATTTCGACTGAACTCGCAATGGATTCATTCATCCAAATCCATTCCGTTTATTAGTTTTAAAGCAACGCCTTTGAGATGGTTTGAAAAAAAAATGTGGAAAATAAATTGCAATATTAACTACCAGCTGACGTATCATAATACTTATGCCAACAAATATGAGCAGCAAGTCTGATGTGGTTACACGTTATTCGATTTCCATACGGATGTCAAGTCTGCATGTTGCACACGGCAGGAGCGAATGTTAGTTGAAATTATGTTCTCAGCAGCGGAAAAGAAAAAAATTATTATCAAGACTGGTTAAGCCAGTTCATTTTCACTAGTCTGGTGCTCAGAAACCCAGTGCCGCCAACATATCAATCTTCATCTCTTTTAAACAACAAATCTACGAAGATAAAACTGTACAGGTCGTAGCCTAAATCAAGTCCAGCTTCAAAAATATAACTTAAATATAAGAAATATTAGTGTAGGTACTTAAATGCTACACACGCATCTAGACGATAAAGGTGCGAATATTAAAACATAGCCATTGTGTTGTTCGTTATTAGAGTTCAAGACTCATCACAGAACATGGACTCGATCATTCGTTTGGACATGAAGGGGTCGTACACGTCGAAGTCGAGTTGGGGCTGGCTGAGGCCACACAGCGCTGAGGCCTCTGGCACAACTGGTCGGCAGAGCCAGTCTTGGATAATTTCATCCTCGCTGCTGTCATCGCTATCATAAAAACCGAATGATAGACGTTTTGTATGTACCGTCTCCGTTGTTGTGTCAGACTCATCCTTGCTTCTGTAATTCTTTGACTGGTGGTGTGACTCAATATCGGTCTCACCTATGACTGGTTCAGTATGTAATCTGAAATCTGACTGCTCGTCTACATAATTTAACCAACATAAATCCGGCTGCTCACAAGCTTTCGGTCGCTCACTCAGAGTTTCTACATTGGCACCAGCAGAATCGATCAATGGAGTTTCAGAATCAGACACTATGCAATTTTCCGGTCCAGCTCGAGGAATCTCTTCCAAAACTGGTGATTCTTTATTCTTATGGTTCTCGCCAGATCTCAGTGAAGTCCCTAAAAACTCATAAGGGGTTTCCTCTGTCGACGCGACGCATGTCGCTTTCTTCCTTAACCGAGATTGCTTCTTGAGTGGAGTTTTTTGCTCACCTCCGAGTTCAGTTTGTCTCGTCATAGGCCTGCCTCCACTTTTGGTCGCATTGGGAGAGTTACCTACGAACTGCCTAGTAGGAACCTTATTATTTCTTAGACGTCGTCCTGATCTTCGAGGCACCTGAGGCAAATCTTGGTTATTTTGATCGTTTTTCCACAAGGATAATTCATAATCTTGATTTGGCTGCTGAACAAAACCCACTTGATTCGAGATACTAGGCGTCAAAGGGGTTGGATTAGCAGTATTTGCAGACTCTGAAATGTAAGAACATTGAACTTGGTTCCTCAATTTCCGTTTCCCATGGTGTGTATTAGAAGCTGGAGATATTTGAGGCACGCCAGTAGTTTGGTTGTTCAGCTTGATATCGCTCTTGATATTCTGAGACGCTCGTTGGTCATCGAATGTCGCATGCACTACGCGATCTTCAATATTATTCACCGACGGAACCTCAACCGAAACGGGAACAGAAGTTTGATCTATCCCACATGATGAAGATCTGGACAGTGTTGCTGCACACTCGTCGGCTTCATTACATCGAGGTTGTATAGGTTCTGGTGATTTTGAAGCAATATTCATTGAGGAATCGGGAACTTTGACCACTGACTGAATGCTTTCCACTTTCTTGTGGGACTCGTTGAGCGAATTCGTAACGTCGCATTTCACAAGAGTAATGCTAAGTTCTCGATTTAGTTTTGGCATTTCGTAGGTCGATATCATGCTTTCGTCATTCTTAGATTCAGTTTCACGAGTATCATCTACGATTCTACGAGTTTCCATCAATCTTTCTGGATCTGAATTCGATTTATGCCCCACAAAACTTTCTTCAGCAATTGATGACAGCCTAGCAGGAGGCACTGCCACTGCACTGCACACAAATTGTTTGGTCGTGTGGATTACACGGGGCTCTGGATTCAAGTACACACATTGCAAGTTCTCATAACTCCTGTTTGCACGAGCCAGAGCTGCCTTACATTCGTCAAGGCTGTCAAAAAATCCATGTGAGCCATCATCAAGGCACACGAAAATTCCACTCACATTTGATGGAAACCTCACTGATCTCAATTTTTCACAAATGGAACCTGAAAAACGATGCTGTGTGAGCATATCCTTCGTTATTTCTAAAACTTTCATCAAGTTGGGTAGGTATTCACCTTTTTCAGTAAAATTATTCGAAACCTGAATAGAGGAATCAAGTTGTTTTCCAAACAATCGAGGGATCGTAAATGGCACGTCATCAACAGCAAAAGAAACTTCGCTGCCACCACTGACATAAGCTTCATCATCCCCACTACTTTGTGGGACATGCTCAGCCTGTAGAGAATTTAAGTTGTTTTCACAACTCGACGATACAGAGAGATCATTGTTAACCCTGATTTTATCCCTAATTAGGTTCCTATGAAACCCTAATGTGTCTTGACTGCAGACAGGTTTTATTTTTCTGCCATACTGTAGGGCAGAAGACGTGGAGCTGTCCTCTTGATTGTGAATTTCCAGGTTATTATTGTTGCACAAACTGTTACAAGTTTTACCCACGTGTAACGACACTTGGGTAGTACTGCTTTGCGAGTCTACTTCCATTAACTCTTTGAAAAGAGTGTCAGGTGACTGGCATCGGTCTTTATTTATTTTAGGCCGTCTTAATCCTCGTTTAGGCAACTGTTCATCTTGAGGAATGCCTGCACACATTTCTACTGCCGCTTTGCGAGTCATGGACGATGGAGCCTTACTCTTTGTAAATGAACCTTGAAGGGCATTGTAAGGTGTACCGAGTGATTGCTCTACATGCGGATTTTTTGTTTCCTTTGGAAGCAACAAAGAAGATAAGGAGGTACCTTTTTGATCCTGAAGTTTAACATTATTAGCACTGCACAGACTTTTACAGGTTTCAACCATGTGTGATGACACTTGGGCATTATTGCTGTCAAAAGGACTGTCGGTGGGGAGCATTTGCAGTTCCTCACTTTTCCTATACCGTCTTCTTCCTCGTTTTATCATTGATCCATTCTGAGAAGTGGCTCTACATGAATTCATTCCTCTGCTCTGAGACTTGTAGGATGAATTGTCTTCTTTTATTGGTGTACCTTCAATGGCCTTTGGAAGTGTGGTGAATGACTGCTGAGTATGCGCTTTTTTTATTTCACAATGATGTAAAGCAGTAGGTGTGGATTTGCTATTTTGATCTTGCTTTTCAAGATTGTTACAAGCTTCATCCATGTGCAGTGACACTTGAGCATTATTGCTGTTGAAAGGAGAGTCTGTCAGTGGTTCCTTGCTTTTTCTCGGCCGCCGTCTTTCTCGTTTTATCATTGATCCATCTTGGGAAGTGGCTGCACATGAAGAATCGATAGCCTCTTGCTGAGACTTACAGGATGGAACTCTTTGTAGATCTACTCTTTGTGCCCACACTTTACTCTTTGTAGGGGTACATTGAGTGGGATTTGAAGGAGTTCCAAGTTTTACAAAAGATTTTTTCATCTGTCTGTTTTGTAAATAAAGCAATGATTGAGAGCGTGTTTTGGGATAGTTTGTGTGGGTTAACAGTGGGTCAGTATTGTTGTGCAAGTCAACTTCCATGAATTCTTTGATATAATTGTCATTTAAGAGCATTTGAAGTTCGTTCTGTTTTCTTGGCCATCTTTTCCCTCGTTTTGCTATTAGACCATTCTTAGAAGTGCCAGCACACGAATCTGCTTCTCTTCTCTGAGACTTGCAGGATGTATTGTTATCCTCTGTAATTGTCTCTTCAATTGCGTTGTCCTGTATAGCATTTAAATGTGTCCTGAACAACAGATTTTCATTAGCTTTTTGGTTGAACAAAAGTTTCTTAATGCCACCAACTGTGGAGCAGCTATTATTCTTGGCCATGGCGCAAAATTTAACTTCGTCACTTGAATTATTTTTTGAGCATGTGCCCAACTTTGCATCACTATTCTTGTGATTGGAATTCACTTTCTCAGGTAATGTCAGGAGTTCTGCTACAGGTATACATTCAAGCTCATTTTCAGAAATTTGTTCTGTGGAATGTAAGTCTAACAATGCACGCTTGGCCACACTACATCTTATATTGTTCTCTATTGTTTTATGCTTCTTTTGCTTGAATTGCTTGAGCTTCTTGTAGCGTTTAAGCTGCTTAGGAGAGAATGGAACATAATCATTGTCACTATCACCATGTTCTGCAAGATAATCACAAGTTGTTCCAATCAAGTCATTCTGGGGATATATGTCACTCAGTTCCACCTGTGGAGCTTGCATCTTCAAGCTTTTGCATGTGTACTTTTCTATCACACTGTCAAAGAAAAGCTGTGCTCGTTCAGCAGAAATTTGAGCCAATTCATTATGCAGCGCAGAAACTTGAAAATTCTGCAAAAGAAAGCAAGGACGTAATTGGCTGTTTAACAGAAAGGATGGTCCAATTTATATCAAAATATACAACTGGCAATACCAAGCCAGCACAGAACATCAACTGGCAATAAGTACCGGTAACACAATAAATTGATTATTATTCCATCAACAGTCTATATATACCACAGAATCTTTTTAAATTGTCATTCAATGAGTTGTAAAAAATGAATATTTGAGCAACAGACTACAAAAGACATTTCAGCAGTCATTAAATTGTGTTTTGATTGAATAGAAGAAGGGAGCAGCAAATCAAACAAAACTCACACTCATAATGTTGCTCAGGTAAAGTTTTGGCCAGAAGAAACTTGAGCAGTTTGGTGCCACAACTCAGGTGATCCTCACAATAATCTGCAACACAAGATTTTTTTAGGGCGATGTACTTGAAAACATTGCAAATAATTTTACATCAAACTTTGTATTTTCAGGCAAATCATTGGTATGAGAGATAGAAAGTAATGAAATCAGATTAGGTACCTACATCTAATTTTATGATTCTCTTTCACCAATTGGCTGGCAAGTTACCTACCTATGTATTTGGTCACTAAAAATCACTCACAATAAGACCACCACAGCCACTAGTTAGAGATTGTGGCTATGTTATCATGCCACTGCAATTATCTGAAAATCATTTCATACAGAGGGTTTACTGTTACCATATCAAAAAACTATTCCGTATATGATAAATTGAATAAAAGTTTTGTATTGAACAATAAAATTCATACCTCTTATAAAGATTTTTGAAGGTCAAAATTTTTTTTGTCTATAAAAGTTTTTTGAAGACAGACAGCAAAATCAATTCAATTATATGAGGTAACATTATGAAATTGAATAAAATTAAAATTGGATAGCTACCCTTTTCAACTGTATTCTTCAATTTGAAATACCGTATATACAAATTTTAGGGGACGAACTGCATATAATAAATTGATAAACTGTAATTAATTCTTCTAATGTGCAGAATTGGGAAAATGCATAGGAGCAAGTATATCTTATAATTGTTCATACATTCTTTTACAGGTTTCAGAAATGAGTGTCTCTGTATTTTTATGATGTTTCAGAATAGACATTAAAAAAATAATAAACTAGCAAAATTATTAATATACAAATAAAAAATGCAACTAAATTCTATTGCAGAACATATTGACCATAATTGGGTTAGATTGATTTGCATAAAAAGATTGAACTTACAAAGGTGCAGCAAGCAGGAACTCTACTTTCAATTATTATTTATGGGCTCATAAAACTTTACTTGACATGTGTGCAAATTTTTCAAGCATAAAGAACACCTGCAATAAAAAAAATGATAGAAACATCACATAATTATGGATCAGTACTAATGGGCATCCAAAAGAGATGCCTACATCACACACATTGTAATGGGCTACCTGCCAATGTGGTCAAAACAATCTCAGATCATGCAAGAGTTAGAGAAATCATATATGACATAGCACTCTGCTGCGCTTGTGTATTTTCTGAGAATATTTGACGATTTGTTAGAAGCAAGATAGGGGAGAAAGTCCATATCAGCTTCTTATTACCTTAACTTTAATGGCTATCCAAGAAGGTATGGCAGGTAGGTTTATGATAGTTAACTGTATCAATTGACTGATAATTTCATTTACATGAAAAGAAAAATTCAAGATGGTAATATTGTTGCTTAAAAAGTCAAGGTGATCATATAAGTGCAAATGCCTGCCAATGCTCAAAAATATCAAAATTTTAAAGTGACTATTTTTGAAGAAAATTGTTGACATGACATTTGCTCAGGTTACTATATGTAAAAGAGACTTCATATAGTGTATCTAGTGCTTGGTGGTAAAATATGTAATGCAAATATACTTTGAATTTCATTGGTTATCAATTAATATTGAGTTTTATTTAAATGAAACTTACATATGGTAGAGAAAAAATTATCATTCTTAGCCTAAATTAGTAAAAAATATTGTGCACTCAATAACTTCTGACCACGTCTAAAGTGGCTTCTGCTACTGCCGAGAATAGTTCAAAGAAAGGCTGCTGCATCTGTATTGCACTCTAATGTGGTCAGTTAGGTGCTCACAACTGTATACATGTTATACTCTGTGTGCAGTATACATGTTACTCTGCATACAGCCTAGGCCTGGGTAATAGTAAATATAAGATCTCACCATCTGGAACCTCAGGATTGCACAGTGAAATGTGGAACCTAATGCATACATGTTAATCACTATTTAGAGATCATCTCCTATGATCTAATACATATTTTGAGTTCTTCATACAACTTAGCATGTACACAAATGCCATGTCAGACTAGAAAAAAAAGGAAGAATTTTTATGTTTTCCAGTTAGATCTTTACACCATTGTTTCTTTTTAAAACATGTTGTTGTTGTTCGTTGGGACCGTCATGCTCGCCAGGGGGAAGGCTCTGGTGGTGGGCGGGGGGCAGGCACCGGAAGAGGGGGGAGATGGGCGAAGGCAGGGCAGGTGGCCAGGAAAGCCGCTGCCTCCACGGGGCTGTCCCACAGTGAGAGATGCTGAGAGACATGGGGAAGGCGGGCAGGCAAAGAGGTGCAGAATGGACTGGAGGGGATCCCCGCACTCCAGGCAAGCGGAGCTAGGGGAGTGTCTGATCCTGGTGGAATGGGACGCCAGGGAGCGACAGTTGCAAGGCAACTGAGCGACAGTTGCAAGGAAACTGAGCGACAGTTGCAGGACTCACACGAGGCCAAGCAACAAATTGCGGAGGCGCAATCAGTGTCTGCCATTTGAGAGAATCTCAAATATTTCTACAAATATGCCTGGTCAAAGGCTAAAATCAGAGCCTCAGTGGGGCCTCTGAAAAATAACAATGTCCTTGTTGGAGACGACCAGGGCATGTGCAAACTTCTGTGAGCTCAATTTGAAAAAGTATTCAGCGAACCCCAATACTCAAGACAAAAGAACAAAATTGGAGTCATTCAAGAACTTGCAGGGGAGTGGGAGCTGATGAACATCAAGTTTGAAACACCAGAACTAGAGAGGAGTATCCAAGAATTATCTACGTACTCAGCTCCCGGGCCAGATGGGGTCCCTGCAGTATTACTGAAAAAACGTGTCAGTGCACTAAAGGTCCTTCTGACTTTGCTCTGGAAAACATCATTGAGAGAAGGAAATGTTCCAAGTGACCTAAAATTAGGGCTAATTACCCCTATCTACAAAGGAGGTGCAAGAGACAAACCCCAAAATTACAGGCCCGTTACATTAACATCACATGTAATCAAAGTATTTGAGAAGGTTGTTGCCAGAAGGTTGGTGCAGTACATGGAAGACACTGACCTTTTCAACAGAAGGTAACACGGTTTCAGACAAAATTGTTCCTGTTTGTCTCAGTTACTGGAGCATCACCACCAAATCCTGGCCATGCTGGAGGAGGGGGCCGGGGTGGACGTGGTGTACTTGGACTTCGCGAAAGCGTTTGACAAAGTTGACCATGGAGTGCTCTCCAGAAAATTAAGACTGCTGGGAGTCGGAGGTGAATTGCTGGCATGGATCCACAGCTTCCTGACAGAGAGACTACAAGCTGTCATTGTAGGAGGCTCGAGATCGAGCGAGGCTAGGGTGATGAGTGGAGTACCACAGGGAATGGTACTCGGCCCAATCCTCTTCCTCATTCACATCGCCGACATAGATGTGGCTGTGAACCACGCCACTGCATCGTCATTCGCGGACAACACCAGGATACTAATGACCATAACGGACAGGAGGGACTGAGAGAGGTTGCAAGAAGACCTCTCTGCAATATCAGACTGGGCCCAAGTGAACAACATGCAGTTCAACAGGACCAAGTTTGAGGTTCCGAGATACTGTTGCAGGGGGAGCTATATTGCTTTTTAGCCCAACCCTTTGGCTATCATCCTCGTTTATTTAATGTCTGTGCTGTGATTTCTCATTATGTAACTTATTATGTACTTTTCCTTTTTTCTCTTTCTCTAGTCCAGACAAGGAAATAAAATCATTAACGTAAAGTAAATTCCAAAGCCAAGCATAATTCTAATGTAAAATTCCAATGAATAACTAATAACTGCACCAGTATGGGAACCTAAACTAACTCACCACTTGAGAGGAAGTGAGTGATTGTTTATTGCATATTTTCATTTTTTGCTCAATTTATTTTATATTACAAATGGTTTATATTTATGTGACTATGCTCTGTTTTTTTTATTTTCTTTTGTGTTCAGTGTGTTTTAATTCTGCAAGCTATATATTTTGGTTTTCATTAATTCTTCATTAAGCTGTTTGCTGCAATACAAGTTTGATATCATCATAAAGGTTCTTGATTATTACTGTTTTTCTGCTGTTTATTTAATGCTTGTTCATATTTAATCCAATTTTTTATCTTATAGTCTTAGGGCTATGATGCATAAAATTAATAAGTTTTACTTTCTTTTTATGGCAGATCACATATGCATCTTGTCCATGCTCCTATGTACGTTGGTCCATGCTCCTACACTCCTCATTTCCATGCTCCTGTTCTAGTTAGTTCCTTAATTTCCATGCTCCTACGCTCCATGTTTCCTATTCTCCTTAGTTCTTTAACTCCTATGCACGTTTGTTCCATGCTCCTATATTAGGCCATTCTTCACTCAGTTATGCACCACACTTATTCATTTCGTAACCTAGAGCCATTTAATTGAACTGTAATCGAAATTCCATTTCATTTGTCAGTAATAAAAGATCAATTTTAGTCTCATCATTATCCACTTCCCAAGTAGGTTGTTGCCAACCTATCAAGTAGAAGTAGGCGACGTGTTTGCCTCACCCGCGGGAGACATGCGGCAACATTTGGCATCTCCGACGGGATATCTTTTCCCTTACATTATTTATTTCTAACTTCATAACTAGTAATCCAGAACAATGGCTCAAAACACCAAACACCCACCCTCTCAAAATTTAGTTTTAGTGGAGCATGGACAGGGTGCGGCTGCTGGAGTGGAGTCAGACGGTGACCAGGATTCTGGCAGCTCTTCTGAGCCAGGACTGGCCATGTCATCCATTTCCCCACCCACTGCTGGGGCTGAGAATGTTCCAAAAACCCAAACTCAGCAGAATGCAGAAAATAGTACTGCTACTTCAACCTTAAGTGAAGTGGTTACCATACAATCTCTGCTCACCCAATTCCCAAGTCCTCAAGTACGAGCAGATTTTGTGAATGGGAAATTTGGCTTTAATGTAAACCCTAATTTGCTTCCAGTTCTGGATGAATTGCGATGGACTGTTTCCTTGCTGGCTGGGTGGCGGATTTGCTGCTGCTCAAGTATTGAGTGACCAAGCAGCTGATCATTTAAGTCAACTTCTAGCCCAGTCTGATGCTTTATTGCTTATCAACTGTGAGAACCCAGAAGAGTGCTTAACCTACAAGGAGTGGTATGCCACACTTCAAACTATTGCTTCTGACTGCTACTGGTCTCGAGTGCCTGTGGAGAGCCGTTGTACTCACATCTTGACTGAGGTGGTGGCAGCACCATCAAAGAATATTTGCAATCCAACTTTTAGTTCTGGTTTATTGACTGCTGAGATTTGCAAGTCTTCATCCCACAAGGTAAAGAAGAAATGCCATAAGAAGATGAAGTGTGCCAACAAAAAAGTTGTCAAAGTGGAGGAAATTGTAGTTTCCTCTACTGAGGCCTCATCAGTAGCTAGTTCACCCTCGGATGAGAGCCTTTCAACAGAGAATTCTGATGATGAAGACCCTCCCATGCCAGAACCCTCACGCCATCAGTGGAAGCTAGTGTCTGATCGGCGTGAAGTGGTGGTCCCTCCTAAGTTCTCCATAAACAGTAGACAAACTCTGGCTGAGTTCCTCCAAACATTTGAGAGGTATTTTGAAAAACAATTCAAGGGAACAACTTATGACCAAACTCAAAAATTGTCTGATTTTCTGGAGGGTGACCTTCTAACGGTATTCAAAGTGCGTGGGGGTAGAAAACTCAAATACCCTGAAATGAAGAAGCAGTTGTTGGATTATTACAGAAAACTAAAGATTGGTGGTAAGAAATATTGGCGTGCTGAGCTTGAAAAGGCCAGCCCTGAACCTGGTGAGAGCTTAGATATCTATGGCATGAGGTTGACAGAGCTTGCTGAACTTGCTTTCCCTAGAGATAAAAAAGAATGTGCTACCCAATTGAGGCATCACTTTTTGAAGTCATTACCAGCTGCCATGACTACTAAAATTATTGATGCTGAGAGGATGCTCAAAGCTACCTCATCTGGAAAGAGGAAGCATCTTAACTTTACTAGTATCCTACAAATGGCCAGAGACCTT